TCGACATTGTAGACGAGAAACTATGCAAGACTAGACGTTGCATTCCTTGACAATGTTGCTCTGAATTAAATCTAAAAAATAGCGAGACAAAAGAGTAAGCAACTTGGTTTCGTCATTAGAGTTGAAAAAAGTAATTTGTATAAAATGCAAAACACATCCACAGATACAATGTCCACGTTACTGCGTATTAAATACGGTTTCCCATTAAAAAGTTCTCCTATTACCCTGGAACGACGTGAGACAAAAGGGAGGGCTCGGTTTAATCTACGGAGCGCGTGGAATATTAAAACTATGTGCGGCACGTGTGGCCCTCTAATCACATTTTTATCCGGCGCGCTCGTTAATGTCGGAAATTAAGGGTAAGGCCTACAAGACCGGCCCGGAGGACGGGGCATTTATTAATTTGCCCTGCACGTCCCATAAAAATCGAAGCAGAATAGCCAATCCAAGCCAATATTTTTCGCAGAGAAAATACAACGCGATCTAGCAACTTATGTTACGTTCATGACCGATATGCATACCTTCGAAGCTATTTAAATTAGCATGGGCGACAGGTATAACTGTCTGATTAACTAAATCGCTAGGCCACAGGTCCTCGACTACTTATTTATTGAAATTCAAATCAGCCTAGACGCAGATGTTGCCGATTACAATTTTCCATTTTTGGAAACGTTGCCAAATGCCGGTAAAAAGCGGTCGATGCTTTGCCCTTAGGGATGCAGGACCGCAAGAATGTGGACGCAATCGGGAAGTTCTAACGTACTCGTATCTGTCGTATTTTATTGATCCCTGAAACTAGCTATAAAGGCGGTGCCACTATAAAGTTTTTAATTAAGCGCCGAGCTTGGGGCTTAACGACCGCATTTTTCTGGATCCCCTTCGCGCTTCACTCCCGGGAAATCTCTTGGAACTGTGCGAATAATTGCGCAAATTAATAATACGAAATCAGGATACCCCGCGACAGATGTTACGTGGATCCTTTGAATGTGGAATCAGCGTGGATTAGAGATTTTGTTACATTTCATTGAACAAGGAAATGGGATAAAATTGTTGTTTTCCTTGCTCTTCTTTCAGTTTGAGCGATAAATCTGCTGAAAATGTGAAATCAGCATGTATTCCAAAGTTTAGTTTGCCAAACTTTCTAATAGCACCATAAATTGTGTCTTTGTAAACATTCTTTTCCATGCCCTTTTCAGCCATTTTCACGTAGGTATACCTACCCAAATAAAAACCATCCCCGCTAAGGCTCTACTATGTAGAAATGAATTGATTCTAATATTTGAATCCAAATACAGCAAGTTTTGAAACGTAAAAAAAACATCAACTACAGTTTTTGGTGAAAATTAGCAAAAGCTCTCAGCTTTCAAGTGATATTTACTATGAAGCAGATCAATCTGGTTTTAATTAGTTTACGGCGACCACACCGCTGTCATAGTTGAGTCACTCCAGTCGGGCGGCTCCCAAGTTGAATTTATCGCAGCGACCAAGCGGCCGCAACCGACCGTGTTTACCGGCCTCTGGGCAGCTTACTGCATGGCAAAGAAGAAATAGCACAGTCAACAGCACATCAACTAAATTTTTCTTAAGTAAAATCGCACCTATCACAACTGCATATGGTGCTACAGTTTTTAACTTGATGTGCCGTCGTCCGTGCAAAAATTTTTCAGACATTAGTCCAATACATAAAATAGCTTTTGTGCCAGAAAGGATCATGACTTCGATTTCATTCAGCTTTGGTAAATTCAGCGTTGATCGATTGGTAGCGGCCTGCGTCCAGCGCTTCCCTGCTACCTTTACGATGTCGTCGGTCCACCTTGTAGATTGATCAACATGGAAAGCATTGGGGGAGGCCTATGTTCAGCAGTGGACGTCCTGTGGCTGAAATGATGATGATGATGATGATGATGAAATTCAGCGTATTTTTTGGAGAAAAACATGCGCTTCAATGAACTTAAGCTTAGTCCACTAAATCTTAGAATTGCATCCATAAATAGTTCAAAGAGTATCCTAAAAGGCACTTTACTAAAAAAAATGTCTTGAGTATAATAATTTTCTCTTCAATTGAGCAGTTGCTCAAACAAAACAAAATTGATAAATTGACGCTTTCAGAAGTAGATTTTGTTTGTTAAGTGAGACTTTGACTCGCAATAGGTCTACATCCATTTAATTTGTCAAGTTGACCGCACCTCCAGTGCCGCTCCTCGTAGGCGGCGGTTTCTCATCAACTAAGACGGAACCTGCGCGGATTCTAAAGTTTCATTATCGGGTTGCCATCTAATTTGTGTAAAGAATCTGAACATGAAAAAAATACTAGTAATATTTTCTGCATAAATATAGGAGCAGTCGATATTCAAACAGAAAAAAGTGTCAAGGAAACTCAAATACAACTGTAATTACGGTCAATTAAAAAAAATATTGAACTTACACAGGATCTTAACAGGAGACTTAAATATCAGGCCACAAAATTAAACTTTTTTTATCCACAACGAGGAAGCTCTTGGCCTGTATTTCACCTGATGGTAAGTGATGATCAGGCCGAAGGTGGAAGCGAGCTTCACCCGGAATCCTCAACCACAGAGGAACTGGCTATCTTCCCTCTAACTGCCGGAACACAACAATGCTGTTAACATTGTTGTTATGGCGACAGACTTAGGTAAGATGGTGGTAGCTAGCCAGGCGGACTTGGAACAAGCCCTACCACCAACCAAACCGAACAGAAAATTCTGCCCCCACTGGGAATCGAACCCGGGACCTCTGCGTCTGAAGCAGGTGGTCTAACCACTAGACCACAGAGGCGGTTCGACAAAACTATCTAAGATACCCCAACAAGCAATACATATTCTGGCGAAACGGAACGTACGAGAAGCCAACCCTGTAGGTATTACAAGCATTCCCGGTATACATACCACGTTTACATATTTAACCTTTTCTACTCCGTCGAAGTTGCTCCCAACACAATTAGACTAGTAACATAGCGCGTCTGCCCACGTAATGGAAAAACTTCCCTGATTGTGTGGAGACCGAGGAGACGGCTATTAAGCAAGCACCCATTGATCATAAAACAGAAATCGTAAAAGAACCCGTAGGATTGCTCAGATAGAAGTACTCTATAACACTAAATCATCGATACACTCCACAATACCCTCAATAAAATTTAGTATGTAGTTTTACAACTCGATATAAATTATGATTGAGTACGCTTACAGATATTATGCAAATTGCAGGTATAAGGGTGCATTTAATTGCTTAATGTCTAATTGGATTCCTGGTGGGATTAATTGCAATTAGAATATGAAACCGAATTCTAATCAAAGCTTTTGATTGAATTAATTAATCGTTATGAAACACGTCTAAGATTAGTGGTTTGCAAATTGCTTAATCATGTTTTACTGTTCCTAGACTAAACTGCAATTTGATAAGGGATATAAAATATGACTCTAGAATTCTAGACAATTTAGTATTAAGTAATAATTTTATATTATTCGCAGATTAGCATCCAAAGGACGTCCAGTCTCCAAAGCTAAAAGAAGGCCTCCCCCAAGGATTTCTACAACGAACTGTTCTGCGATCCGGCATCCAAATATTTAACCACGAACAGTCAACTAGATATATCAGTATTTTTCTACAAAACATAGCAATGAAGTTCACAGAACGCAATACGGGTGAGCTTTTAACTGCATTAATTTGAGAAATTGCAGTGCTGAGTGCGGCCCCGCACTGAGTAATAACACCCACGGTTTAGCTCTTTTCGGTTTAAGGCCATTGAGACTAAAACTTAGTTGCGTTTATAACTTTTTCAGAAAGGTCAGAACAGATATTGCATCGTGTTTAATTAACTTGTGTTTATGAGATAACGTTTTACTACTAAACTTACCATAATTTCCCTTGTTTATGATGCGTTCAATAATAATAATAAATTAAATCGTTATCGACTATGATTCTTTACAGGGCTTTAAATTAGTGGGAAAATTAACGAAAGCCATTTGGTATTGAGTGGCCTGAGCAAATGAAGCTCGTTTTCTTAAGCACTCAACTCAAGCAAGGCACAATTGATTAAACTTCAATATTTACGAATAAATCAATCACGGTCTTAAATCCATTCACACTTATTTAAGCATTGTTTCGTAAAAGGGCTAGGTAAAAAGTTACAATTAAAGTTTAGACGACTGATCTTTGGCCCTTACATTGTGACAACATTTGGAAACGAACGAATCGGTCAACTAAGTTGCTGTGAAATCACTTTGTGCAGTTTACAAAGGAACACAATCAACATTTCGAAAATCATAAAAGCAGTCAGACCTGGCAGGCTAGATATAACTGCATCCATGAAACATAAAATAAAAATACATACATAATAATAAATCCCTGCTGAGAGAGGCAGTAAAGTACATATAGGACCAAAATTATGTAAGGTTTATTAGCTCTACATTTTTAAACAATTGAAAATAACCTTTAACCAAATAATTTGGTAAAGGTGTTTGTTATTTATTATTACCCTAACAAGCCTCAAAATAGAGAGGGTTTCTATTAGTGCAGAACGTAAATAATGGGTACAAAACCATAGAAATTTAAGAATCACCGGACGTCGCTACTTGGGTAAATTACAGTGAAACTATTTCTTAAGCATTTGGGAACTAGCTCTTTAGAGTTTCCTACATAGGAAATAGTAATAATACCTTTTGATTTTTTAAATACTTAAGTTTGGGAATTAGCGCAGAATATCGGTAACTTATTTGCATAGTATTTCTAATTAATATTAAGTATATTGCTATTAAATGCATTATTTTGTGGTGACATTTGACTAGACTACATTCAAACAACATAAACTCGTAAAATTAGAAAGCCAATCCGTAAAAGTCAAACAAAATACCTACATCCTGAAAGTTACTCCACCACAATTTTCCTGTGAAATCTTAAAAGTACATATTTCAGAGAACTAGCTAGAATAACTTTCCCGGTGTTATATAACGTTAAAGGTATAATAAACAGTAGCCACTTACCTCTTAATATCTGGTATAGGAAGACTTTGATGTGGTCGGCGGAGAGGTGTTGCGGTGACACTATGATCTTGTGCAGGTCGCTTTGCAGGAGCTCCGTGATGACGTATCTGAACCGGTTTGTAGTCGAGGAAATTGGAATAGAATGAAAACATTATACACAAAATCATAAAGCATTCAACGAAAATAATTACTAATTAGGGTATAATGAACTCGTAAATGATGTGAGACATACATAAAGTAAAAACGTTAATTATATTCTACTTAAGAAGGCACTTTTTTTTTTTTTATCCACAACGAGGGAGCTCTTGGCCTGTATCTCACCTGATTACGCTAAGTGATGATCAGGCCGAAGGTGGAAGCGAGCTTCACCCGGAATCCTCAACCACGGAGGAACTGGCTATCTTACCTCTAACTGCCGGAACACAATAATGCTGTTAACATTGTTGTTATGGCGACAGACTTAGGTAAGATGGTGGTAGCTAGCCAGGCGGACTTAGAAACAAGCCCTACCACCAACCAAACCGAACAGAAAAATCTGCCCCCACTGGGAATCGAACCCGGGACCTCTGCGTCTGAAGCAGGTGGTCTTACCACTAGACCACAGAGGCGGTTACTTACTCTAAAGTTCTTAAAGATTTGGAGAGGCAACATAAATTGGTGTGTGGGAAGTACCTAAACTCCTTCATGGCGAAACGGATCGCTCTTGAGAAATATCTTAAATCAAGACTATCTTGACAGCGCCGTGAAAAAAACATTACCGTCCCCACAGCTTTTTATGTAAACATACAAATATTTAACTACTCTAGAATCCATGTTTTTAACATCTTTTAGCTCATAATTAAGCAGTCCATAACACTCATATAATAAAATATCGCTGAAAGATATATTCCCTAAAGAAACATAAATTCTTAAGTGGATAGGATATTTTCTTGGTTTAGTTGTATTGAAAAGCAATTTTATCTTCGGCCTCATTTACGTGACTTGTTGGGGTCCAAGGGCATCGGTAACGACCCATTGATCAGGTGGATTCCGTCTGCAAATACCTTTTTGTTTAGAAAATTCTGGGCTTGTCTTAAATAAGGCACAAAGTAATTTGGGTGGTACATTTGGGATAATGATGTTTTCGGTAAAGTCTGTAATTGTAACATCAGACTTGTGAAAAAGTAGCTGACACCCACGCAGACCTCGTTACACTTTTAAAAGATCCCTCAACAGTTAATTCCAAGCCTATTATGAAACGAAAGCAGTATTTATGTACAGTCAAAAATTAGATTGAAGCCTATGGTAGGTATGACTGTTTCAGTTTAATCTATGCGTGTGTTTGACACGATTATTGAGCTTTTCAATCAAAGCTTTCTTGTTTTTGATCTGTAATGTAATTAAAGCTTTTCTAAACTACTTATAACAAGTATACAAACAGTATCGCGACACAATTTATAAAGGAAGCCGTACTACAGCGCCCGTATCAAAGAACAAACTAAGTTATCCTTAGGCGAAAGTTGAAGTCTTAGTTCCAATTTGCCAAGAGGTGGAGCAAAAAAGGGCTCAGCTAGATGGGCCCGTGACAAACAGGGTTCGTAACTCACCGCCCACGCCCGGGTATGGCATCCCGCATGGATTAGAGGGGTTCAGTAACGTTGCTGATCTTCTATATCTAAATATATAAAAGGAGAAACTGACTGACTGACTGACAGATCAACGCACAGCCTAAACGGCTAATCGTAGGCACTTGAAATTTGGAAGGGACGTAGCTTAGGTACCGTAGAGGTGCACTAAGAAAGGAATTCCCGAAATTCCCACGGGAACGGGAATTAGCGGGAAAAACGGGATTCACGCGTACGAAGTCGCGGGCGGCCGCTAGTAAATATATAAAAGGAGAAACTGACTGACTGACTGACAGATCAACGCACAGCCTAAACGGCTAAACGTAGGCACTTGAAATTTGGAAGGGACGTAGCTTAGGTACCGTAGAGGTGCACTAAAAAAGGAATTCCCGAAATTCCCACGGGAACGGGAATTAGCGGGAAAAACGGGATTCACGCGTACGAAGTCGCGGGCGGCCGCTAGTAACTCATAAAGCTCTTACGGCTTTATAACGGTTTCTGTAATTTTAGGTACCTACCTACTTATCTAGATGACATAATACCTAAGCAAAAAGTATTTCTTTCTTTCTTTAAAATTTCTTTCTTTCTTTAAAAAAAATTGAGATCAAAGTAAGAAATGTTCGCGCCCGGAGTGTCTGTCAGCTACACTCGAAAAGATAAAGATCTAAGGGGGAGATTAGGACGATTTGTTATTTCTGAAAGAATTTAGAGGACAATTTCGAAATAATTTAGTTAAAAATCAGAAAGTGCAGTGAGTAATGTAATCATCAAGTAAACATGCATCACGCTGCGTGTAATCGTACCCCTTCTAAGCTTAAAACTTTATTAGTAAAATAAACAAGGTATAAAATGCAAACTTTATAACATTCTCTACCGAGAGAACTTTTGGGCCAAGCAGAAATTAGGTGTCCAATACCTAAATAGAAGTAATTAGTACTAAATTCAGGGTTAGAATCCTATTTAGACTGGTAATAAAAAGCCTCCGCCCGTAACGTAGCGTGATATACAGGCTATGTAGCCCTCCGCCCACGGAGGGTCGGGCGTTCGTAGGACGACCTCTGAGGGCCGAGTGCGGAACCGTCGCTGTGTTATCTCGCTTATCTACAGCGCCCTCGTGGCCATTATCGAAATTACAGAACGAAGCTGACGCATTCGAAGAACAAAGGTTTTTCAACTTGTTGCGGTGACATGAATTGTATGCGGTGGGGTCATATGTAGGCTGATGACGTGTTGTGTTTAGCTCAGCAATAGCAAATTGCTGGAGGAAAATGTGAAAATTATGGGCCATAATATTTTCTTATTCTATTATGTTATTATTGCATACAGCTGTAATTTTGTTAAGAGATAAATATGGACCTTATTGTCTTCACCTATCTACAAATTCTCATTTCCGTTGCATAATATGTTCGTGACTGACGCATCTTGTAATTTTGCCCTTCGACTATAAAGCTTCTTACATCAACGATCGACCAGATAATAATGCAGTCAATGTGCAATAACGTCACGATTGCTTGAACCAATGTTATGTGCGTAATCCGAACTATCGAGTTAATTCGATCGCTTGTAAGCGATCAAACACAAATCTATTGCCAACTTCGATAGCTATCAATGATTAATAATGTTATTGAGACAGACACATGCACGATGGAGCATCAGTTGGTGATTGACTAAAATTACACCGAAACCGAATTTCGGTTAAGTGTCGATTTCAATCGACGATTTAAGGGGAGTCTAATTCTAATATACAGAATAGTATTGTTCGCAATTCACCCACGCGGATTTCGGGAATCACAGGTCACAAACTTTACGTTTTTAAACACGGTCTTAAAAATATTTTTTTCTTGATTGATAGAGTTATATGAGCAATGAGCACAGCATGAGAAGTGATGGGACAACAATACAAGCATCCATCTCCTTTTCCGCCTCTTTCGAACTTCAGCACCAAAATTAGATCATATCTATTTCGGAGGCCTTAAACAAATAGCTTCAGCTTATTCAATGAGTATTGAAAGTTTTAATTGAAGCCACCACTATATCTGGCCAATACCTAAAACATCAACAGCTTGTAACAGACAACACTGCTTATTACCCTACACATCAAATCCATAGCGTCAATTAGATTGAAATGTGTCCCTAATGAATCAAAATTAACATTAATGCGTTTCTCGTAAGCAAATCAATATAGGATAATTAGTATGATTAAAGCCCTTAAGAGCCCGTGTCGTGTCAAGAGAAGTCAAGTTCAATTAAGGCGAGCTACTGAGCACAAAATACAGAGTGATGCGAAAACACTTACGGGATTAAATGAACTGGAAATTAGGTATATGTCATTGTAAGTTAGATGCGGCAAGGTGTAATGAAAATTCTATGAAGATACAAAAATGACACATTTGGCAGTGAGTGCAGTAAGGTTTTAGTGGCTCTCATTTCAAATCCATGTGAGGAGGCCGTATGTAAAATATTGCGCATTACATAACACAGAACGTTTTTGTCTGTCTGTTATATTGGGTAAATTTATTATGAGATAAATGAATACGTTTAGAGGAAAGAGCGATAGTTCTGGGACAAATTAACATTCATAAATCAAGCAAGCCTATATCGCGGTTTTCATTTGTTTGTGTATATTTACCGTTTAAAAAAGAAACTTTAGACCCCAGCACTTGAGATTGTGGTTTTTCATGACAAAATACTCCCAAAAAAAAACTAGATAGTTTGTTACATCAACAAGACCCTTACCTTTAGGGCGTGCGGATTACTGTTTTATTTTCGAACTTGGCAGTCGCCTTGAACTCGGAGGGCGATCACTCAGTACTTCTTTAGCGAGTTCTTTTTATAAGCTTTTATTTTATTAGCTATCCTGTGACTCTTAATAGAGAAAAATACACAAGAGATAATTTCAAGAAGACTCTGTTATCAGTTGCCCACAAACACCTTGCTTTAGATAGGTTTCTATGTCCGATCCGAATCTTTCAAAATACGGACCTAGAAAACTAACTAGAGGGATCAGACGACGGAAATCGGATCTAGAGCGTAGTATTAACATACAAATAATAGTTCTATGACTTATTGGCCCAGGGTTAGCATTGTCATTGGTCCAGGGTTAGCATAGTCATATGACTATGTTAACCCTGGACCGTATTTTAGCGGATCCGGATCGGACGTAGAGCGAAACCGCTCTTATAGGGCGTGTGGTGCTGTTTTATTTTCGAGCTTGGTCCGGCTCCCGGTCGCCTTGACCTCGAAGGGCCAATCACTCGACACTTCTTTAGCGAGTTATTTTAATATGCTCATTACCAGCTAGCTGTCTTTAGTTAATGCGGTGAATCACATTTGATCATAATTTTTATGTGGTTTGTCAGACTTGAAAAAATAAAAGCACATTTTCCTCCCTCTAAATTACTCCCGCTAATGTAAGTAATGCAATTGTATAACTTCAGATCAATAATTGTGTAATGAACACGCCAAGTACTGTCCTCACACTGTGACACTATAGACTTTAGACAGAGAGTTCGATCGTTCGTTTCAGCCGAAAGACGTCCACTGCTGGACAAAGGCCTCCCTCAAAACAGAGAGTACAGTGACCATATTGAGCCTTCTCCAAAGTATATTTTTTTCATTGCTTGCATGTCGAAGTTATGTAGTATCGTCTTGGCTAAACTTAGGAAGTTGTCGAAAGAAAAACAAATTGAAACAACTAATCTAACATGATGATTAATAGGTAAGTAACTGAAAAGTTGTATAAGCAAAAAATGTGAACAAGTACCAATGGCGCTGTAATTTGAAATTTCAACAAGATCTGACGACGCCTACTACAACGTGTGAAAACGGTAACAAGGTCGTACAGTTAGCATGAGGGCATCAATAAGTAGATTGACATATTGAATCTTATTCCTACAGACATAAGAGTTAATCTGTTGTAGGTACTGGTACTTCTGACGCTGACCGTGCAAGTGACGACAGCATGAAAGAAACGTATTAGGAACAAAGCTAAGGTCGATGTCGTTATGTTCATCTGCTTACTCATCACAAACCACAATCTCATTTGCAAAGATTATATTACTGTGGTATCTTTATTGGTCGATAATTTAAATTTTCTATTCTTTGGAATTGTACACAGCGCTATCAGGGTTTTTTTTTTAATTATTGTATTGTACTTAGTTTAAATTATTCAGAGTTTTTAATTAGTCAGAGACTTCATATCCTTTATATACGACAACTTATCAAGCTATAAGTACACTGTGATTCTTTTCAATAAAAATACCTAGTCTGATAAAATTCCAGCTTCTGTACAATCCGTGAAATATTTCATTCATCTTGAATAGGGTTATTCAAGATTTATTGCCGAATTCTCTTGGAAGAACTTTTGTTTGGATACGAAACGCACACACGAAATAGCGCATAACATATAATGTGTGTACAAAAGCAAAACAAACAGAATACTCATTTACACACAAATGGATCCAGTTTCTCGGCAAGTTTTAAGGAAACTGGGTAATAAATATCGTTCCAAAAACAATATAGTACCTTCTGCCTACGTAGTACTGAGTACGTGCCTGTATGTGGCTACTTGTGGGTAGGTACAGTGCGGTTGGTTGCCCAAGCTATCGGATCTACACGGCCGGCTTCGGTGAACCGCGAGATCTTAATTTACACAACGTAGTCGCGTATATTATAATGGGCCTTATTTCTTTGCTATCTCATAAGAAGTTACGATTGGTCAAGATTTTACCCGTGTGCAATACGGCTTTATATCGTTTAACTTTATTATGTGTCTGTTTTCCCAGATTAACTTGTATATGATTCAGTTAAGATCTATTTAGTTTCATAGTTAAACCAAATAGTTTATATTTAGCCTTTGATGTCGAACGAAGTTGTTTTGATAGTTATCGCGCCACAAGTTGTTCTGAAAAAGTTACTTTTTATTTACAGTAGAATTCATATTTTGATAAGCGTGTATAAACATGGCCTTTAAGACGACAATATCTCCCCTTTTCCACGATTATT